TATTTACAGTTTACCGCCTGGGTGGACGCTGTTATATTCGTGTTCAGCCTGGAGAACGAAGCGAGCTTCAACGCCGTGTACGGGTACTACACGAAAATGGCACACTACCGAAACTCGGCCGAAATACCGCTCATCTTGGTCGGCACACAGGGTGAGTACTCACATCTATTGATGTCTAAAATAATACAAAATATATATATATATATATCATGTTATTTTGCACCCGAGGCTACACGCCGTTTGCAGTATATAATTGCTACGCTGCGACTCGGTGTCGAGTGCCGCAGTGAACAAGAAGGTGGTTTATGAGAGGATAGACGTCGCATTGTCAGCTTTTTTTTTTTTTGATTTCCGCAGAGGGGCGAGTAGGTACATACTATATAAGAGTGTTAAGGATAAAAAAAATGTACACGACCGCGATTTCTTTATTCATCAAAAAATCCTCCGAAAACTTACGACGAGTAGCGTATATATAATATATTACATGAATAATTCAGGAACTTTTCAACGGCATGCGCACGTATACTATATAAGCTGAGTGTACGAATCGTCCCCAGTTTTTAACTTGCTTGGAAAAATCGATACCTATATACGATCTCTGTATCCTCTAGATACAGTCTATATATACGTTATATCGCGATTATTTTTTGTGAAAAATCAATAGGTAGTCTTGTAACGAGCGTCTATGTAATCAGCAGTATAATAGTATAATATATATTACTCATTATTCAGTCTGGTTAAATTTAATGCAAAATAGTATAAATATAAAATATCCTCCTATATATAGTATGTATATATTTCAGGATTTTATATTATATGGGGGTGCATAATAATTCCATGAGCTGATCATAATGCTTGAATTTCTCGGTTTTCAGCGTATCTCATTATACTGTCGGACACTTATTTTATACACCACCGTAATAAAAATAAAGGTCTTTTGAGTCGAACTTAATGGCTTTTTACAATTTTGACTGTCGACGATGTTTTATGTGTACACACTACACTTAATAGTGTAATACAACGTGCTCGTTCTTCAACTATGTATATATGTATAAGAATAAAGATCGTAATAAAATAATAAAATCGGAGGATGCAATATCTCATATTATACAATATATCGTATGATATAACAGATGATAATACGATAACCGTATTATGTATTTTTCATGTGCAGACGCCATTAGTGAAACGAACCCTCGAGTAATAGACGACACAAGAGCCAGGAAGTTGGCGGCAGACCTGAAGAGATGTTCGTATTATGAGACGTGCGCCACGTACGGTTTAAACGTGGACCGGGTGTTCCAAGACGGTAAGAAAATAATAGATGTATATTATAATTTGTTTTATTAAGAGAGAAACCTTGGGTATTAGGTAATGCATTATAATATAGTTTGTTTGGAGTATACATTGTAAATATGTGTATACATATGGTTGAAGAATTCAAGTAGATTTTCAGTGGATATGTGCTCCAGATACATTTTGCAGGTCAGCCGTTTGATCATTGGTGTCGCTGTTTTAGTGGGGGTCTCACCACGAGTAGCACAAAGGTTTCTTCTCTCTTGTGTTTTGTTTGTGCCAGTCTAAGAGATACGAATTTCATAGCAAATTATGGCACCAATGATACCACTTTTGTACTCTATTGTGGATGCGTCGGTAATTGGTATAATTAATGTTGACGCTGTGGTTATAGTAATTCTCTGAATTGGTGTGTGTAAACTAGAGGGCATGTATTAATTTTGAGGTTCTACGTGGAGGTGTATTGCTTTACATTTATCACCACCGTCATTAAAAAATATTCATAACTTCCTCCCACGAAGGAAAATAAAAAATATATTTATAGACTGCACCCCAAGCACGCAGAACGCAATGGTTTCAATTATTTTATTTTATCCATACCCTTCTTGAATTTAATACAAGTTAGAGGTTTGTAGGATCTGCATTCTGCTTACAAGTTGCGAGATGAACATAACTCTCTACGTTTCGGATAGTAAAATAAAAAGGATTTATGTTCATGACTTGTATGAGTATGAAGCAATTAAAAATTTAATTGCATCGTAAACAAGAGTTGTGAACGAAAACAATAAATAATTAATGCATTGTTTTACGCTGTATTATACGACCTACCTATATGTATTTTAAAAAATTTATCTAAATCGAATACGTTTTTACGTTTCATTTTTGCATTACGCCCAATATATAGTGTTTTGGCGGGAATCTCTCAGTTACAATTACTGCGTACTATACCAATTGTATAATATCTATAACCTAATGTGTTCATAGCTTGCCAAAAGATCATCCAGCAGAGGTTGTCGGCATCTACCAACTGTCTCTCGGACTCTCGGTGCTCGACGCCTGCCTCATCGTCGACCACTACCCCGGTTGGTGGTTTGCAGTCTGCATCGTACGCAGGTAACCAACACCAACACCACCAACTCTACCAACATATGCAATCTCCAGCCAGCGGTTCGAGGACTTTCTCACAAACCTCATCGCCGTCACCTCCTGTACACGGCGCCGGCGGTGCGTCACCCTCTCACCACGGTAGTAGTGGCGTAGTCAACGCATTCAAAGAGTCGGTGCTCCGGTCGAACTTATCATCGACGCTGAACCGACAACCGCTCGAGCTGTCCATAGCTCTGGACAACAACAATGTATCGACGAAAACCGCGTTCGACGGTGGTGGAGTAAGCGGTGGCGTCGGTGGAGGCATTGGCTCTGCTATCGGGCTGTCGGTGCCCTGCAAGGACTTACCCACACCCAGTTCCACACCCACCACTACCAGGAAGACCCGGAGACGGTCCAACCTATTCAACCCGTCCAAGAAGGATGACAAGAATCGGTGCCTGGCCACTGGTGAGCTGGGTAGCGGTCGGGCTATTCCTCTCAAGCAGGGTTACTTATACAAGCGCAGCAGCAAAGGTCTCAACAAAGAGTGGAAGAAGAAATACGTCACACTTTGCGACGACGGGCGGCTGACGTACCATCCGAGTCTACACGTCAGTATTATAATATATTTAATTTCATTGTTATTCATAAAAATCAACATCATAATATTATTGAGTTTAGAAATAAAAGTAGGTATATCTATCTCCTTCCGACATAGCCTAACCACAATTGACATTATGCATAAAAACCATGAACTATTGTATACTATAAATAAATGTATAGTCATATCAAGTATAGTTTATTAAAGTTCATAACTGTTAGGTATATATACTTATTTATATATTTAACAAGGAATCTACACAAAATAAATAACGTTTTAACCCTGCACTGTTTCCAATCCACAGTCAATACTAGGTATCTACGCTTCACGAAAACAGGCGGCTGATCGTAGCGCCCTCCAGCGGCGTTTTTCCGGTAGGGCTGGGATTTAGTGTAGATTCCTTATTAAATTAGTATATATACCTAACAGTTATGAACTTTAATAAACTATACTTGATATGACTATAAATGTATTTTAAATAAAATAAAGTAAGTAGGTATATTCAAATTTTGGCCAGTGAAAAGTAAATTTTTTATTTTGTTTGATATCAAAAAGGTGGCCGACCCCTGTTGTAAAGGGTTTGATTAAAATCGTTTAACTTTTTAATAGGTTTACCATTGATACCTCGCCTATTGTTTTCATTATATTTGATGTAGGTACTTATTGATTATTGGTATTAAAATATTTTTTGCCATTGGATATATGATTCAATTTATTTCATTTTTATTTTTTTGTGTTAAATTTATTCGAGAATCGTGGTTTTAAATTTAAGTTAAACATACAATGATCGTGTTAATGTGCTATTTTTCAGGTCGAAATGACAAAATGTAATTCTATACAATTTTTAGTCATACTTATATTATTATATTGTAACGAATGAACGTTTCGAACAACTAGTGTTAATTAAGTGCAACAATAACTTATTCTTAAAAAAATGTTTGAACAATAGAAGTAACAACAAGTGAATTATATTTTAAAATTATATACGTAATAGACATACATTTTGAACGGTGCTTTTAAAATGTATAATTATATTACCGTGTTCTAACCACCATTTTTCTTGTACTACCTACCTGTGGAAAACTCGGAAGATATGAGAGCGTTGTTCTGTATTTGTATGCCTATATATATCAGCTAAACTTATCGCGATAGTTTTCAAGTTTTCCTTGCATACATCATATTATATGTAATATGTATATAGTATAAAGCTAGGTATATCATAAATACATGTCACATACACACATATATATATAATATACCATTTTTATTTTGTTTTAGGACTATATGGAAGACGTACACGGCAAAGAGATATCGCTCCAGTACGTGACAGTCAAAGTGCCCGGTCAAAAACCCAGGGGCTCGAAGACCATCATGTCGCTTTCGTCATCGTCGACGTCAGCCAACCATCATCACCACCACAGCAGCAGCAACGGCATATCCGAACATATGTCAAACATATCGATATCGAATTTCCAGTCGAAAGACAAACGGACGGCGGACAAAGTGATGCTCACCGCATTCGAACTGCTGAAGGAGCCAAGCTATAAGAACGGTGTTTCAGCGTGAGTAATTGTATTTATTTGTTGTATATGCGTATCATTATTGTTATTATAAGGCAGAGAATTGAATATTTATCATATAAACATACTTAATATTTATGCTGATATGCAGGACTAACAGTGTTAAACTTTTCTATATTTTAATTTTGGGCCTGCACTCTGCACACGAGTTTCTACTCAGTGAGTCTCAATAATATTTTTTATATCAAATCAAAAAAAGAAATTGTGATGCTGCAGATATTTTTACAAGAATGAATTGTTGATTTGTTAAGATGTTATTATATTAGACATGGACACCCAGTAAAAAATTATTTTGAATTTCCTAAAAATTGGAAACTAACATGTATTTAAATAGTTTTCAAAATTGGTCATATCGCCGTCCCGGTAGAACAATGACGCAACTGCAATAATTGCAATTTTACAGGAAACCCAAAAAACTAAATTGTTAATTATTTATGAGTGTACAAACTGATAATTCCACAACGACGCAATTGCCCTCTGGAGGTCTAAAATACAACTACAGTTCCGTCGTTTTTCTACATTTTGCGTACGTAGGAGTTGCAATTGATGCTTATAAGCAAATGTTTGACAAGGAAGTTATTAAAAGTGGATTAGTTATTTGTCAATTTATTCCTTGGTTATGTGCTAGTCCAGATGGATTAGTTTTAAAAAACGGTAAAATTGATGCAGTTCTTGAGATAAAATGCCCAATTTCTTGCCGAAGCAAACCCATAGTAGAAAATGGAATTCCAAATTTAAAATATTTATTAGTTGAAAATGGGATACTCAAGTTAAAAAAATCATCAATGTATTTTACACAATGTCAAATATTAATGTACTGTACTGGTTTATTAACATGTGAATTTTTTATTTATAATAATATTGAACCAGTGGCATTGACTATACAAAGAGATGAATTATTTTTAACAAACACTGTAAAAAAAATAGAAACATTTTTTTTTAATTATTACTTGCCAGGATTAGCTTCCAGGCAATTGTTATAATGTGCAATACTAATTGATAATTTTTATAAATAAACATGTAATGCATATTTGTGAAATAAAGTTTATTTTATAAATCAATGTTAGTTTATAATAATTTTAATATTTTTTTATATAATATTTATTATATTTATATAAAGTTTATATAAATATAAAATTACATTTTTAGGCATAATAATTATTAATATACAGTATACAGTGTTAATACAGTTTATAAGTATTAATTTGATAGGTACACAAATCATAACTTATTTTTAACTATTAAACAAAAAAAAAATATACCTTAAGACTTAATTATAGGTAATTGCAGATTGGTTAAAACGCAACATATATGTACAATATCATCAACATGGGGAAGAAGGTTAATTTTTAATTTATTAAGGATACCATACATTTTCATTCGTGCAAAGACTCTTTCAATGTGTATACGAACACTAGCTATACTATATGTTTCCAGTATTTCTGTCTCGGAAAAACGGCCATTATGCAATATTGGGGGCATAATTAAAATACTGTTACTATTTTCAATTTCAGTTTGTATGCCAGGAAACCCTTTGTCAGCAAGTACCTGATCACCGGGTTCTAATTTTTTTAAAAATCCTGAATCGTTTGTAATATATGAGTCACTTGACCTACCACCATAACATTTTGAAACAAAACAAATCATACCATTTGGGTTGATTGCCACAAGAAATTTTATTGTATAATTACTTTTATATCTTGAATATAAATAAACCCGTTGTTCTACAGTATTTGGTTGCTCGACCTTAACTTCAGTACAATCAATAATACATCTGCAATCTGGATAATTTATTTTAAAAGCTTCAGGTAAACATTGTTTTACTGAATATTTATCGGGCCAAAAAATAAAGTTTTTAGTCTTTGAACTTAAAAAATTAAGACATTCAGTAAATATTCTTGAAACTGTAGAAGGATCGATTCCAAATAACACACTGATTGCTGAATAGCTAATACCCAGTTTTATTTTTATTAAGAAAATAAGTAATCTATTCTCTTTTTTAACAGAATTTATGTTTAAAGTAGGTTTTAAAAAAGAAAGTAAAAGATTAAATACACAAAATGAAGTCCCAGTTAAACTTATTAGGCGTTTTTCATTTGTTATTGATTCAAACCCTTTAAATGATTCACGTGATAAATATGAGATTTCATTTGAATCTGGCCCACACATTTTGTCAAGTAAACATGGTTTAGAAAAATTATTATCAAAACTTTTGGGAACTGAAACTTGTGTGTTTACATTGTTTTTATTTTGTATGCATTCAAAAATAAAGTTATCATTACCAGAAATATTTAAACTAACTTGTGTACTAACATCACATTTAGTGTTTAAATTAGAATGTTGGTCTACATTAATATCAGTAATATGAACATCAAGTGTGTTGATGGTAGAATCATTCATAGCTTTACTATTTCTTAATTCTGACCGATTTCTAGAACGGTTGTATCTATTAATTTGTTGATCAGTATTGGGTTTAGGTTTATTGTACATTTTTGGAAAAATAGATGGAATATAAGATGGACTTTGTGGATCTTTAGATCGTATGTTTCCTACAAAATGATCTGAACATATCAAACTTCGAGTAGTCGGCATCCATAATTTTCCATTTTCCCTGTTAAATTAAGAATAATTTTAATGAATAGATTTGTGAGTAGATACCCACATACACAACACATATTTGTCATTTCTCATCATTCAAATTTAATTTTAGATTTTATACAAACATTAGAAATTGTATAAATCATAAATTATAAATAATATGAATTATTATCTATATACCTAGTTGCTTAAATAGATTATATTTTTGTACCTACTTAAGAATGAGTGTGTGAGTTATGACAATTGTATTTTGTTTAATGAGTTATTATCTTATTATCTAAAAATTTGGTAACTTACTCTAAACGGTTTACAGCTCTAATCCATTTTTTTTTCAATTCCTGTTCATACTGTCTATTGGGAAATGAAAAGAATTTGAGGTGTTTTGAAGTTTTGTATGTGTTGGAACAGTTCACTACACAACACATGTTTTTTGATTTTGACTGAGCCATTTTAATTATTATAATTAAAAATTGAAATAAAATAAAACAAATTGTAAATAAATTTCACTGAATTCATGTGTGTTATACTACAATATGCTACTATGGAGTATGGACTATGGTTTATGTACAAATGTACAATGTACTTGAAGTGTTGGTGACCCGATAAAAGTTCACTCATAGTCCGCTAGGAGCGCTTTACCCATCCTGCATGACGTCTATATTTAAACTCATTGTAGCATTTAGGCCATTTATACCAAATTTTGGAGTTGCGTCATTGTTCTACCGGAACGGCGATATTATATGTTAAATTCAAGCAATATAATATAACAGCCCTGTTTATGCGCTAAACATAACCAAGTAATTTCTAAAATATAAGTATACGTGTATGTTTTACAGTAATGGTGATGAATCGACAATAAGCATGTCGAATACTTCGTTGTCGGCGAACAACGGCGATCTCAAAGCAGAAACACCCAACGTGAAAAAGAGACACAGACGGATGAAGAGCAGTAACATAAAGAACCAAGAGTGCGAAGGTATGTAAATACAAACAACATCATTATAATTAGTTTAGGGCTGTGAATTTAATGCACAAACAAATTATTAAACACGCTGGTACTCCTCGTGCAGTAAAAATTATCAAAATATTTGCTCTAAAATCCCAAAATATGTGTAAACATGAACGTTAAAATTTAAAAAACGTAATAATAGTGCTAAGTTAACATTCTTAGTCAATTTTAACTTATAAAATTATTTTTAACTAAACAGTTGAGTGAGGTTAAGAATCATACGAATCAGTACAATTCATTCAAAATTACATGGATACGATAAAAAATAAAAAATAAACAATGCAAATAATAATTAAAATTCAATGTTTTTGTTATTATTGGTATTATTTATTTATTCATTTCTTAAGCTCCTTCTGATTAGTTTTGTACTGGATCGTATAATTTTTAACTCGCCCTGAATAGTTTAATTTTTAAGATAGGAAAAAACTTTCTGTGTCAAAGTTAATTTAAAAAAAAATAATTATTTTCAAATTCAAACTCAAAAAAGGATGAGGTGGGTGCAATTTAAAACAATGCACATGTGCAGAAAATAAGATTAACATTTCAATTTTTAAAAAATAAGTAAAATACGGTAAAAAAAAAAAAAACCCTGAATCAAATTAAACTGCATTGGCTGAAATATTTAGTGTAATCTAAATCGGGATTAACACTTGTACCTATACAAAATGTAATTATTTATTGTTATGTTTACGATACCTAATAAATAATAACCAACACTCTTGCGGATATAATATTTTATATCTCAAATATGTATTCATTAATGATCGATAGCAATATTGGTGACAATGACCTATAAAAATAATTCGTCAAGTCATTAAACAATAATTAGTCAAATAACAAATGTTAGCAAAAAAAAATTAATATAATGTTTACGCTTGTAGACACCGATGGATACGAATTCCTAATCGTATCGTTGGACAACAAACAGTGGCAGTTCGAAGCTAACAGCTCGGAGGACCGAGACGAATGGGTAGCCGCCATTGAACAACAGATTCTCAACTCGTTACAAGTCAGTGTTAATTAGTATTACCATTGATAGTACAAACTCTGGTTTATATCAATAATATTACCTGTGTCTTTAAAGAAGACATTTTTATTTTTCATGTATTCACTTTATATACCGATATCAAAAATGCCTAACTTTATATCCACAGAGCAATGAGATCAACAAAGTAAATGTCGGCGGTAAATTCGGCTCGTCCTATAATCGAGCGGAAGACGTGCAAAGCATCCGAACGCGAGTGCCTGGAAACGGTCAATGCGCCGATTGCAATTCCCCGAATCCTGATTGGGCCAGTTTGAATCTGGGAATACTCATGTGTATCGAGTGTTCCGGTGTACACCGCAACCTGGGCTCGCACATATCCAAAGTCCGGTCGCTCGACTTAGACGGATGGCCGTAAGTGTTATACATTTATTTAGGGTTCAGATTTAGTATACACTAAAAATTCAGTGAATATTTCTGATTGTCATTAAATATTCAAATTCAGTTATAAACTAACAAAAAAAATAAAAATAAAGTATATACTCAAAATGTTAACCCAATAATATAATATACTATAGGTAGTTTAATATTTATATGGTTTTATATCAACAAAAAAATGGTTTTTCTAGACCTTCCCACCTCAAAGTAATGATGGCGATGGGTAACGATCTGGCCAATTCCGTATGGGAATCCAACGTCCGTCCTGATCGAACCAAACCCAATCCTGGTTCGAGTCGGGAGGAGAAAGAACTGTGGATACGTAGCAAGTACGAAACCAAAGAGTTCCTACCGGCGATAAGCCAAACTCCTAACTTATCACAGCAGCTCATCGACGCCGTCTACAGGTGGGTCATGATTTAAAATTTATTCTTTTTTGATTGAGGATTATGCAATTTGTTTTACAAAATCGTCCCAGACAAATAGGACTCGTTTATATAATCTGCAAAACTTTTGGAAGCCTAACTTTTACGGCCTTCCAAATAAGACACGTCATTGATTATATGTATTAATTTCCGTTATTTTAAGGTGTGACATGAAAGCCCTCACGCTGATACTGGCCCACGCCAGCGCTGACCAAGTGAATTGTGTTGTCAGCCACCGAGACTTGCGCACGCCCTTACACCTTGCCTGCTCCGCGATCAACCTTCCCATAGCACAGCTACTCCTATGGGTAAGTGAGACATTTAATAAAACAGTTAGACTATGTGCTGTAATGATACGAATACATTATTGCGTGTCGTTATAATAACTTAAACTTTTAAGTTTAAGTATAGTATGCTCTTGTTTGAATATAAATATTAAATTATTGAAGTGGACGTTTTTTATACGGAGGGTAGGAAAAAACCAACAGATTCTTATATATTATTTTACATAAAAAAAAGTGTATACATAGGTCCTACTCTACTATAATAAAAATAAATAGCCAAATTTAATATTTACGAACCAAAAAATGAAGAACACTATTATACTTCTATAATACTAGTGTTCTATACTTAATAATAAATGTAAGTACACAAAAAATATCAATAAAATTAAAAACGTAAATAATGCCTATACCTACGTGTTTTAAAAAATATAGAAACCGACGAAATCGCCATAAAATGTAAGCTTTATATAAAAATCTATCCATCCTAAAATTCGACTAAACCTACCCCTAAGCCCCTCCCAAAAAAAAAAAAAAAACTTAAATTTACCCCGATTTATAGCTATTTTATATTAGGTATATAATCATGTACAGTGACTATTGCACCTCGGCGGTGATCTAATATTATTATTATTATTATGTTGTCATTAATTTCATTATGTGTATCGTTGTCACCCGCAGTACAAAGCAAATGCCAAAGCCGTGGACCACGAGGGCCGGACGTGCCTGCAACACGTGAGGGCGGCTTGCCGGAGCGCCGCCGGTGCCGCGTCCGTCCAAGACGTCGGTCCCCTGACGGACTTGCTCGTGCAAAACGGCTGCCCCGAGAACAGCACCAGCACGCTGACCAGACCGTTGGACATACTCCCGTCCAGCGTCATCTGATGATCGACTCAACACATCGCCGGCGGCACACTTGTTATCGCGTATTATTATTGCGTGTCGGCCGAGGAGGAGGAGACGACGGTCCGTTTGGCGTGCGCGCAAAACAATAAAATAATAATTAATGAATAATACCGCGCTGTGATAGCTTTACATAAATATAATATAATGTTATAAAATAATCATAAAAATACAAAATATAGTGTTAAACGCGTCGTCCGTACAACAATAATAATATTATGATAATCGCGTGTCCAGTCGTTGGTTCGATATTAATTTTGTACCAGGGTTGACGACAATGACGACCCCAGTCCAGATTATATTATATTATTATACCCATTGTACACTGCGGGCGGCGGCAACCACATCGCGTCCGTGACCTGTATTATATAGGTAATATTATAATTATTGTTGTTTACTTTTATTTTATACCGTCTCGTGTTATTATCACGATCGGCTTATATTATATTATCATTTTAGACTATGTAGTAATAATATTTTATACTGTAATATTATATTGTGTTAAAATTACGTATTTATCAACAATTATTATTATATGTATACATATTATTATTATTATTATTATTATTATTACTATAGGTACCTAGGTATATATATTATATAATAATATGTATATATTATTACGATGTTATTAGAATTATTATTTTAAACGATTTGATTTATTATTTTCTTTTTTATCACTTGTTTTCTTTCTGTATAATATTATAATTTATAATAACGCGTTTTCGTGAGAATCGTTTGTACCACGGTAATCTTAGAACCTAGGAGACCTTATACCGTGGCTTACACCAACTACTATATTAATATCTGTACGAAATAGCGCTTTAGTGTTTATTATTATATGATGTGTCGACCACTCAGAACTTTCCTGCAGTAATTTTGTCGATTATTTTTATTTGTAGACCTATTTAACTGTATTAAAATACAAAATCGTTTCAATAATTATATTATTAATAATATATAATAAATTATACTCACAACAGCTTTAATCGCGGTTACATGTTCTTTTTTTTATTTTCTCCGCTATATATTCTTTTAATATTAAATTATATTAATTTATATAGATGGGAAGTACTCGTTGTTTCCTTTATTCCCGTTAATTTGTATTATTATTTATAATTCTTGTTTATTTTACTTCAACAGTGTAAAAACAAACATAATATTTTTATAATATTGTATACATTGTATTTGCATTCATCTTTTAAACGTGTTCATCATACTTAAGCATATCATTGGATACTTATAATGACCACACAAGTAACAATATAATATTGTATCTTTTTTATCAGTACATTAACAGTTACAATACAAAGTCCTAATGGCACCATGCACTGCTACATAACAATATAATATGTCTACAAAATTTTGTATTGAAACAATAAATGTGTTGAGGTAGGCAAATGCGCTTGTGTTCTTGAAATGCCTTTTTAATTATATTAACAGTAGTGAAAAAAATATATGGAACGTTTTAATTTGATTATTTTATTTAATGGTTATTTAAATATCCTACCTTAATAGAAATGTAGAAACAAAAATTGTTTTGCTTCAGTTTTAAAATTGTAAACAACATCTATCTTTGTAATTCATTTTTACCTTTTTTAAAAACCCGTAAAAATACTAGCATTCTATTATACATACATTAAAACTGAAATAAATTATAGCACATTTATACTTGAAATCATACTCCAATTACAATGGTTACCATTGTGTTAGACACAACCAGAGTAGCGCCCCCCCCCCCCAAACAACTATTATACAAAATGGATCTTGGTGAAATTATTTTTCCTAAAAATATTTGTAGTAGAATCGCTGTAGAGCAATAATACATAACATATCCAAATAGACCATCAGAGTTTTAATATATAATATATTCCAGTATAATTCTTAGGATGCTTGACTTCTGTTTCAAAAATGATATAATATTAATTGACAATCAAGAGGAAAGAATCTTACAGCAATTTTAATTAATCAGAATGGAAAAATATAAAATTTATTTCTATAGGATATATGTAATAATAATTAATAAGTAAAACTTAAGTATACATTTAATTAAACCATTTTATAAAATTGTATCATGTTTTTCTTTAAAATACCTCTCAAATCAACAGTTACATTTAGATGGGATGTCAATGTCACAAGCTGTTGGTTTGTCTTCTAAGATCACAAAATCCTATAAATCAATAATCAATGCATTTAGTGTTTTTAAACATTTAAAGAATAATAAAACCACCATCAATTTATACATTTTTATAAATAAAATATGTAAATATAACTTAAACTAAGTTTAAAAAAATTGTAAGATACTTAGTTAAAATTATTTCAATTGATGATAATATGATAGTCTTAACAATATTTACCCCAATATTTACTGTTCAAATTACCTTTTTAATAGTATTTTCAGATTCCATCTCGTTTATCAATGAAACCATTCTCAAAAATGAATCGTCTATGTTTATATTGTTTTTAGAAGATACTTCAAAAAAGGGTATTCCAAAATGTTTTGCCACCTATAAAAATATCCAGCCATTTTTAATAGTAGCGATAGTGGAAATATATATAATTTAAAATGCAGGCCGTCATTTTTTATTACCAATTTTCCTTCTTCGGTTGACACCATTCTGTTTGATTCCATATCACATTTAGCACCGATCAAAATTCTTACCACATTTGAAGGAGCAAACTGAAAATAAAAACAAAAATATTAAAATATATAAAATATTGCAAACAAGTGTTGTATTATATTATGTTGTCTAATTTGGACAATTAATTTAAAAATAATTGGTATTTGGTAATTGGTCTTATAATCTACCTACCACATTTGCATACCTAATATTAATTGTTTTAGTGTGCAAAAAGAATGGTGTATCACAATATATTGGATTTTTAAATATATTTTGATAACACAATTAGGTTATTTTAAAAAACTATTATACATAATATTTTGTTTGATAAATATCTTTTAAAAACAGTTCATATGGTGCCAATTGACTGATATTATCGTACCTAAGTATAATAATATATTATACAGTAACAATACCAACAATACGATAACCAATACTTGATCGTAGGCGTGAGCAGAGTTTCAAGTCAGGGGCAGCGAACATTTTTACCAGCCAATTTTTTTGTACTAACGGCCTGGGTCAGTGGTAATGAAATTGATATTATAGTGTGCCTACTATATCATTATGATAGGAGAAGGTGAACCTTAGTTATTTTTAGTTATTTATCAATTATAATATTAGATATACACCTTACAATAGTGTTTAATGAATGTTAATAATAATAATAATAATAATATTATTATATGATCTGTGTTAAAGATAGACTTATTTTAACACAAAATGTCAAAAAAAATAAGCTTTGTATCTAATTCAAAAAAACTTTTTGGATAACTAACTTTTTTTTACAGAGTATAAGGTGGCCCATTGGACTTGTTCGGCATTTTCAAATTGAATCGAACCGTTTAGGAGTAGCAATAGCACAACCTGCTGTCCCTGTGCGCACACCTATGTACTTTATTAATATTATGAATACACCAAATAAGTACAAAAGTTACAATAACATATGCCATAAATAACATTATCTACAAAAATGTAGGTTATGAACACTAAACACTAATAGGTAAAGCACATGTCATATTAAATCTAAAAAAAGTTTGGACTAAATTTGCTTTTAGCTGATATTATTTCTATCAAAAACAAAGTTACATTCACCAACATTTCAATTAAATACTATTAATACATTTTGTTAATCTGAAATTTTAAATACTAACATCATCAATATTTTTCATCCATATGTCCAAGTTGTGTAATGAATTTAAATTTGTAAAGTCGTAGATAATAAATAATCCCATTGCTCCTCTGTAGTACAACTGAATTAAAGATTGATATTTTTCAGTTCCAGCTGTGTCCCTAATTATGGTAATAATGAACAAAAACATATTAATACAATTTACAATTACATCAACTTAATGTTGTATTATTGAATAGTACCTAAACCTAATGCTTAAACACAAATACACATTCTTTTAAGTTGTAGTTATTATTCAAAGGTAGACCCATGAACTTTAAACTTATGGACACCCTTCCTACTTAATTCAATAAATGTCAGTGATTTAAATATGTTCAGAGTCCCAATTGTCTTGTGATTGTCAATTCTTACACAAAATAATATCAAAATATTCAAATAATATGCTTACCAAACACTTAAAACGATGTTTTTGTTCTCGAAATTGATAGTTTTCTTTTTTAAATCAATACCTAATAAAAATAATATTGAAACACTTAAGGTGTATTATATTTAACAGTTAATATTATTACAACACACACAAAACTACAAGAGGAAGCTTAAAAAGAAATGGGAGTAAATATCTAGGTAAAGACTCAGATATGCATAGGTATCTGATCGATCTATATGGTTGGTACCTACCATATTTCGAAGCACATATCTTCCCAGATACACTTCCTCACCAAGAATAAGATGGCTTGGACAATGGTTGGGTGCATAAATATTTAAAATTCAGCACCATCGCTGCGGGTTCACACGTCCGACTCACCTGTTGTAGGTCGATAGTATTCGATGAAATGCTTGTCACAGTACCGTTCAATGATAGAAGTCTTTCCAGTGTTCATGTCACCCACTACGATAATTTTCCAAGTTCTCTGTTCCAGTACAGGTCCAGTCACACTTTTTACTACTGTGTCGTTCATTGCTGCACATTGAAACTGGTCTGAAAATATTTATAAACTATACTATATTGAACTATTGGTAAGCCATTGGTATACGGGTAATATCAATAATATTATATTTTGCTATAGGTGCCTACATAATAATAATATACTTGTTAATATAATAATATGTAGTACCTACTGCTGCACCACTCGACTACATTATGATTCAATAAAGAGATTATCATAAATCGTGTTCAAACTTTGATACTGGTTTCTGATAAAATTTAAAAATTAAGAAGACGTCGCACCCGCATGTGTTGTCTCCGTCTTACACACATACGACATAGCAAATGTTCGTTGGCTAGTTTCAATAGGGTATTATCAAACTTTTAGATAAGAACAGTATCTGTGTTCTCTCGTTGGTTTTTTACGATATTCTAAATTTTAATTGAGTTATGGGTATGTAAAGTATTCATATTCTAAAATGTTAATAACTCACTTAAAAATTAAAATATCGTAAAAAACCAACTAGAGAACACAGATACTGTTGTTACCTAAAAGTTTGATAATAGGTCGATTCACTATTTCACTCTAATATCAAAACTGACAATACACTATTGAAACTAGCAAACGAAAATTTGGAATCACGGACGTTTCGCCCCCGCCGTTTCGTCCCCGTCAAAAAAACCAGTCCACGGACGTTTCGTCCCCGGCAATTATTGAGATAGGACATTTCGTCCCGGAGAGTTATTAGACATAGGACGTTTGGTCCGCGGCATATTTTCATTAGGTTAGGACATTCGGTTCTCAGGTTATTAATTACTTCAAAGTTCTTTATTTTAATACATTTATTTTTAATGAACAATTCTGTAATGTCTAATATGCAGTGTTGTAAAGTATTTGAGTAAAAGTATTCAAATACTTTTTTCCATATTGAGTACCTACTATTTTATTGAATACTTTTTTTTTCTTTTAATTCTTAATTTGTTTCTACTTATAACTATTCTTGTGAAATAAAAATACCATGCCGTCGTGGTTTTACTTTAACTTTATAACAATGTAATATTATATATTTATTTAACTACTTTATTTTAAGAGTATTTGATACAGAGAGTATTCAATACAGATGTGCAATGCGTCTGCAACGACTGCATTGGTACAAAAACAAAATGAAATAATAAATATACCGAAAATAGTTAGTTTTAAGGAAAACAAATTACAATCATAATAATATTATATTGTACGGGATTTCAATATAATGACGATAATTACAATTTATATTTTATACTATTTAAAATGCATAAGTCACTAAGTCAGTTACCTAAAAATAAATATATAATTTATCTTAATATTATAGTATTTAATTTTAATTTATTAATTTTTACTACATATTGTGTTGACTTAATACAATATTGTGATGTATTTAAATCTTGACTATTTGTAATTGTATTGTATGAATATTGATTATGTATTTGTATATTTTGTAGTATTGTCATTTAAAGATTAAATTGTTCATTAAAAATTAATGTATTTAGATTATCAAAGTATACCGGGGACCAAACGTCCTATGGCTAATAACTCTCAGGGACGAAACGTCCTATCTCAATAATTGCCGGGGACGAAACGTCCGTGTACTGGTTTTCTTGACGGGGACGAAACGGCGGGGGCGAAACGTCCGTTTACCGAAAATTTGCTATGTCGCACGAGTGTAAGACGGAGACACCACATACGGGCGAGACGTCCTCTTAAACGCTGTAATCAATTATCAAACTCCCACGACTCGATACATTTTTCCATTATACACATACGTTTTAGTGTTTTACTATTATCAAATAATCATTAAAATGCTGCACTGAATGCCCTTTTATTAAGTTTTGTGTGGCGCAAATTACATAAATATTTTTTTGGAGGGGTAGTTTTTGGTGCAAATTACATACGCCCCCAATGACTACTATACCCGTCGCCAACCGGTAATCGACGTTGTAGTTGTTGGTCGTAGGTGATAAGAAATCTTTTGTAAAATACCACAGAATAGTAATAACCACAGCTTTAGATATAATCTTCTAGATAGATTCTATCCAAAGTAATAACTTATAGATATAAGATTATAATTTAATATTTCAAATTTCTATTGTAATTGTATAATATTAATGAGTGATTGCGTTAACCATAAAAAGGGCCCCTTTGCCGAAATAAGAAGGGGGCCCACCGGGAAATGCCCGGTTCTCCGGTAGGCCTATCCGCCCATATCATGAATAATTCATAAGAGACAAGAGTCATAACTCATAAGACAATAAGACTAGGTATAATAAAGAAATGCTTGTAAATTCAAATTTTTTATTATTTACAAATAATGCTTGAAAATCAAGGTTACTCACCTCTCTTTAAGTCATAATATCACACACAACTATAACGAATCGCATAAAAAAAATAATTAATTTAATGGACCAATTTTGGGCCACGAAATCATGATCAAAAGTTAGTTATCTCACTACTGACTCATTAAAATGTTTAGTGATTATTCATGCTGCAACACTGAACACGGTGTGTTAGACTATATAATTTATACAACCAGGATGGATATTGAGTGACGAAGGGTATGAAAATTGTACATTTGAAGTTTATATTTTGTTTACAACTGTCAACTTTGGATAGGAATTTTATTATTTTAATAACTTAGTCCAGACACTGGAACCAAACTGAAAGGAACCGGTTCTGGAGCCCAAAAACACTTTAAATATCGGGAACCGGAACCAGGTTCAGTAACCAGAACTGAAGGCTGAAGCCCATATTGTGAAATAACATTAACTGGTTAGTAGTTTTACAATGATTATTTTGTGTTTCTCTCTATCGCCTGCTCTCAGTTTATTGGCTATAAGAAGTGCATTAAGTGCTATTGTGCTTTGATACCTAAACTATTGTTACTTTTAGCAACTATAAGCAAGTGACGTATTGCGCGGACTTGATCCAAACTGGGAAATTCTTTCCTGCGAAGATCCATTCGTTTATTTCCAACTGTTTTTATCGGAAACCGATGAATATACGTTGGAGGTAACAATTTATAACCTTACCTCCAAATAACCACCGTTATCTCTTATACACAACCTATCACTAATTTATTTCAATTTATTTAGTTCATAGGCTGTATAATATACTATAATATAATCTAAGGTTTTCTCAATTCTCGTTGTAGGACATGAATACATGATATGATATCATGACGAAGTGTCGAAGTAAGTTTTTTCGCCATGGTCATATTTATGATTTCATGAATCATGAGTTACGACAAATTATAATGGTCTCACTGACCACGACTGTAGACTACTCTCCTATGATCATATTGATTATGTTCACAAAATGTCAAGTCAGTCTGGGTGTTCTTACCGGTCCTATATGTATTGTATTAAATAAATAAACTACATTTTAAAAACAGAACCTAATTATTTTTTTTTATTTTTTTAATACAATTTTTAATTGATTGAGGCACGAAAAATGTTCTTTATTTGGGAATGAGAAAAGGAACTAGTTCTTTTCTTTAACGGGAACTAGCTGAATTTGAGTAGTACCTTTTCAACAAAATGAGTGTGAACTGAACTTATTCCAAGCCTTCAACGTACTGGTCTCATCTGCCCATAGTAAATAAAACATTGAAAATGCGACATATAAGTAGGTAAATAAGCCTGTTGTAAATTATAATATAATCTTCTATAATGGAAACATACTGCTAAATAATACCTATTATATTTTAATGTCGACTTGTAGACTGTAATCGTTTATTTCAGTCATTTCAAAAGTAAGTTTCGCATTTTAATTTGAATACCTAATAATTACCATAATTTAACTAAAAACTTCTTAATAACTATTATTAGGTTGACTAGTGGAATGTTGTAACTTATAGTAACTAGTAACTAGTAAGTAGTAACAGTGATACAGTATAGTAGATATATCATATATAGACATAGATATTATATAGACCGAGTATTTGTAAATTATATGTAATCACATCTGATTATATTCACAATTGATAATGAACACATAGGTAATTGGTAACAATTTTAATTTCAATGTAGGTACTTGCAGTATACGTCTATAATTTGTTACTTATATGAATATGATATATTATCAAGAAAGTGTGTTTAGCTTACCCAAAACAGTAAAAACCCAAGTTACATAATACCAACTAGATTTGTAAAATTCCAAGTCTAACATTTTCTACGAATACTGCTGATCACAAAATTATTAATTATTATTTAATATTATGTTAATTTAATTGTATCGGGTACCTATCGTTTATATTTTAGATTCTGAGCGGAGCGATGAATATTTTGATTTTACTATGATGTATATTATCTATTTAATTTCTTATTTTTTTGTTATTATTTCTTTTTTGTGTTTGATATGTACACGATAAGTAGGTAGTCAAAATAAACCTTCGTTTTTCATGCATAATATATTATAGGCAGGTACTCTGTATGTGATCATATTGTTTATTTTTAAGTTTCTTTGTATTTAGTAAATAATAATAATATAGGAAAATGTATTTTCGAATAATAATTGTATGTTTGTATTAAATACTTTCACCATTGTTATGAACGCCACTGCGTATGCCTGTGATGTTCTGTTATATTTTATATTGTGTCCCTGGTTGTATCCGAAGACGACAATTTGTTGAAACCGTTCTCTGTGTAGCGGGTGATAATCAAATGTTGTTTAATAGTTTATTAATAAAAAGAATACACGTTTAGATTTATATGAGAATATTATACTTTATTAGTTTTAAAAAATATGATTTATACTACAAGCTCACTACTTAGCTCGAATGAGTCGAGTTCTAGACTGAATTGCCGACAGGACCGATACTACAGTCTTGTCGCGTATTAGCAAAATATCTAAGATAAGACGCCTACATACAGGCGTTATTATATTCTGTAAAACAAGCGTCTCTATAGTCTCTATAGTGGTGGGCATATAACACCATAATAGGGAACTAAAATTGTCATTTACCGTTAAGACAACAAATTTTGTGAAAAATTCAATTTTGGAAGGTAAGTGTTTTGTGTAGGCATAATAAATGTTACATTAAAATTTAAAAAATTCAAAGAATTACATTAATTGGATTATAAATTAGAATATAAGTATCTACTACAGTTTCCAGCTTCTACTACAACATTACGTTATATTATGTTTTTAGTTATTAAAATGCCTAAAAAGTAACCTTAAATCCCAAAATAATATGAAAACAAAC